TGTATCAAACACAAATTATGAAATATTTATTCCAGTGACCTTGAACTTCCCAAAATAACCTTGGGTCAAGGTCATGACACACCCTTAGGTCATGGGCAATCTTTCAGTGAAATGAGAACCTACCAAGTTTATCCATAAGAAAGATATGGACCGGATTTGAATTATGAAATTTTTCTTCCAGTGACCTTGAACTTCTCCAAATGACCTCGGGTCAAGGTCATGACACACCCTTGAATCATGAGCAATCTTTGTGTGAAATGAGAACCTACCAAATTCCTCCATAAGAAAGATATGGAACGGACACGAATTATGAAATTTTTCTACCAGTGACCTTGAACTTCTCCGAATGACCTTGGGTCAAGATCATGACACACCCTTTGGTCATGGGCAATCTTTCAGTGAAATGAGAACCTACCATGTTTATCCATAAGAAAGATATGGACCGGACACGATTTATGATATGTTTCTTCCAGTGACCTTGAACTTCCCCAAATGACCTTGGGTCAAGGTCATGACACACCCTTGGGTCATGGGCAATCTTTGTGTGAAATAAAAACCTACCAAGTTTATCCATAAGAAAGATATGGACCGGACACGAATTATGAAAATTTTCTTCCAGTGACCTTAAACTTCCCCAAATGACCTTGAGTCAAAGTCATGACACACCCTTAGGTCATGTGCAATCTTAGTGTGGAGTAGTAGATTCTAATGTCCCTCTGTAAGAAAGATATGGACCGGACACGATTGCACAGACAGACGGACAGACGGACGGATGGACAGACGGACGGACGGACGGACGGACAGACGGACAGACGGACGGTCGGACAGACAGACGGACAGACGGACAAGGTGATTCCTATATACCCCCCCCTAAACTTTGTTTGCGGGAGGTATAATAAACTTGGCATGCTTACTCTATTTACTTAATACCCAGAAGTGTATAGTCAGAGTAACAAAAAGAAAATGCACTTTCACTTCATAACCAGATATGCACCCCAACCCTAAAAAAAAAAAAACTGACACTGCATGGAGCCAATATTTAAAAATTTTTGAAATTTTATCATAAATTTTGTTTCATCATAATTGGTTGATTAATACAAAAATGCAGATATCAAAGCATTAATTTATTTTCAGACAATGTGATCCTCCCATCCCACCCCTCCGATACCTCTGACCCAGGAGGCATGAATTAATTTACCCTCAACCTCCACCCTTTCACCAAATGACAAAACCTCTGACACAGGGGCCATGAAATTTGCAAATTTCATCCTAACACCAAAACCCCTGACACTGGGGCCATAAAATTCACAATTTTTGAAGAGGCACTCTTGTTCATCATAAGTATGTACTTAGTTTATTTAAAACCCAGGAGCAGAGGAGACGATTTTCAAAATATAAATTCATTTCCATTATATAATCAATAGAGCACTGCCTTAATACCAGATCCCCTGACCCTGGGGACATAAAATTCACAATTGTGAAAGAGACACTCTTACTGATCATAACTATGTACGTAGTTAGCGCGTTTAATACCCAGGAGCAGAAAAGAAGATTTTGAAATATTTAATGCATTTTCACTATATAATCAATAGAGCTCAGCCCTAACACCAGAACCCCTGACCCTGGGGCCAAAAAATTCACAATTTTGGTTTAGGAGAAGCACTATTGCTCATCATAACTATGTACTAGCTTAGGTTATTTAATACCCATGAACAGAAAAGAAGACATTTAAAATTTAATGCATTTTTCACTATATAATCAATAGAGCCCCACCCTAACACCAGAACCCCTGACCCCAGGGCCATACAATTCACAATTTTAGAAGAGGCACTCTTGCTCATCATATCTATGTACTAAGTTTATTTAATACCAAGGAGCAGAGAAGAAGATTTAAAAAAAAATTAATGAATAAAATAATGCATTTTCACTATATAATTTATATAGCCCCGCCTTAGCACTAGAACCTCTTACCCCGGGGCCATGAATTTCACAATTTTGGTGGAGAGAACTCATTAATGCTCATTACATTCATGCAAACAGTTTGCCTGCTTGATGTCAAAGAATAAAGAGGAAGATTTGTAAAGATTTTATGAATTTTAGTGGTTTTTGACTCACCACTCAGGCACCAGGGGGCAGGAACCATGAAATTCAAAAGTTTTGTTCACCTTTACTCATAAATGCTGTACACGAAATTTGGGTTGAAATTGGTTCAGTGTTTTCAGAGAAGAAGCTGAAAATGTTCAAATGTTAACAAACGACGCATGAAGGACGACGACGGACTCAGGTGACTTAAAAATGGACAGTTACAGGTAAAGAGTGAAACTAGCATTTATATAAGTATCCGATGCTTCAAAATCAGTAATGCTTAACTTTCTGTTGTGAATATAAAAAAAAATGTATTTTTCAGACGGAGAGAGTTAATATATTGCAGTGTCAAAATGAACTTAACCCAAATATCCATATAATCAGTGATATCTGGATATGGAAACAGAGAAAAGTTGGAGGATAAGAAAATATTAGCCTACCTTTGATAAAATGAATTTCTTCTGCATATTTTATTCAGTTTGTATTAAAAAAAAAATCTTGCTTTGAAGTAAGTGCCTAAGCTATTGATATATTTTAATTCTTTTCACAAACAGGGTTTTGTTTATATTTTAATAAAAGAGGATAGAACTCTCCAGAATTATTCAGAAACAAGTTGATCGGGCTAATAAGAACGGAAGAACAAGAATGGAGTCACGCACAATATCTGTTAGGAAAAAGTCCTCTTTCAGGTTCTGCTCATGTAGACATATCTCAATCAAACAAAGAGGCAATCACAACCTCCCTTGTTTTACCAATTGTCACACAACACAAATGATTGAGCTGCTATTCAGAATTTTGTACAGGTACATTGTTGATGACTTATTATGAAAAAGGAAACTTGTGTTAATTGAAATAATACAATTTGGATCAGAGTAATCAATGCAAGATTCTAAACAACGAGTGGAATCATTTGAAGTGGAGTAAGCACCCCCTGTCGACCGGTCATATCAGCCATATACCTGTGCTCATTGTCATAATGAGGAGACCCTGAAAATCCGTAGAGAATTTAAAAAAAATATTCTTACTATTCGTTCATTAAATGCTAGTCGCCATTTGACAATAGATTGTAGTTACTGACAAGGTCATTGACTTGACCTGAACGTGATGCATTAAAGAGACTGTTGATATCATTGCCTCAACAACTTGTTTTTCAATAACTTGCCTTATTTTCTAAAGGGTGCTCTTGCGAATCGAATCATAATGGGGGGAGGGGTGTGGTGGTTTACAAACCCTTATACAGATAACAAAGGTAAATCGGTACAATAAGGTCATGGTTACGTTTTTTGTAGGTCACTTTTAACGTCTTTTTTAGTAAAATATCCAAATACGTAAGAGATATGCCACTCTCTAAGGTATCTAATACATGTATATATGATATTGAGTCGAAATATGAATCGAATATGATATTATCAATAATACGTTGTCAATATATCTATATAGTTGAAGGCCACAGAAAGTGTCGAATTCTTCTGATGTATAAGTGTTTTTAAAAAAATGTAAATGATCTGATTTTGGATTAAACTGTATTCAGAATAAATGTAAGAGCCTAACAACTGTTATTGACACAGATCAGGCCACAAACGACCCAATTACACCAGACTACATTTGCTAATAAGGCATAAATTAGGCATAAAAAATGAGTATAGAAAATAGAAAATACGAACTTTAAACAAAGGTTTACTTCCTGTAAAAAATGACATGATTAACAAAAATTTTGGTCCCAACATATCGTTTAAGCGCAAGTTAATATTACAAGGCAAATTTTGTTTTAGATTAATGTGAAAATGTTTATCAGAGTATGAAAATTAAAACATTATACGATATTTCTATTTATGACAAAATAAAAAAAATGCTTATACCGTAAATCTGGAAATTTTTGCTGTAGATAAATTTTTAGCAAATTTGCGAGTTCATTGCATTCGCAAAAATATTTTTCTTTAAAATAATTCAACAGTAAGAAAATGTGAACAAAAAAATGGTCATTCGCAAAATTTTAAAACGTAAAAATTAATCAACAGCATTTTGACCCAGATTCGCAAAATAAAATCGACGTAAAAATTTCCAGATTTACGGTATAGAAATTGTCACTTCACAAATACGATCTATATATTATACACAAATAAATGTTGTTTGACACTTAATGTATTTTTAGAACCACACATGTATTTTTTTCAAAACTATGATAAGACCCATATTGCCAAATTAACATTCGTGTATACATGTAAAATTAAATGGACTGAAAAAAATTAAGAAAAAAAATTATTTTATTATATGAATCCAAGGATGACAGGTAACTGTATGCATTTAATAAATGGAGCGATTTACACTGTCAGACTTTTCCGAGTTTGTTTCAAAGTCAAAGTTCTAGTTTGAAACAAGTTTTTAGATGAAGCATATTGAAATAATGAACTGTATTCAAGATCAAAAGTCCATAAAACAATACAAAAACAGGAGCAAAACAAACAAGGACCTCCAAATATCAGAGGTGGGATCAGGTGCCACGGAGAACTTAGCATCCCCTGTCAACCGGTCACACCCGCCATACACTCCTTGTCATAAACGGTAAATAACAGAAAAATCCGTCTTCAATTTAGTGTATAAATGGACTAATAATTAGTATGAAAAACGTCAGTAAGCGTTTTAATCAATGATAATTTGTATTTGCTGACAAGGTCATTTTATCGACCATAGAATTTTGATGATGACTTTGAACGAGACTGTTGAACTTTTTGTTACATGAACTTGTTTGTCAATAATTTACCTCGTTTTAAAAATTGTTCATACGTAGAGCATATAGTCCTGTCATATAAGAACATTTTGAGATTTCTTCTTTTTTCTATCTTCTGTGAAAGAATAGGATGTAAATGCTACTGGAAAAGACAAATAAAGGTCAAGAATACGAACACTAATTTACATCAATGTTCATACTGAAACACTTTCACTGGCCCATCTTCATTTCCTACCCACAGATTAGGATTGGACAGTGATAATGCTAATGGGGTTTCTATTTCTTTTTCTGTCAAAGGGTACTTCAAAAATTTCCCGTCGGGACTCAACAAATGGATCCTGCTGTTAAGGTGATCAGTAACAAGAATGTTACAGATGGAGTCACACACAATGTCAGTTGGCCAAAAGTCATCTTTTAGGTTCTGCCCACGGAATACAGATCGTTGATGACCAGAGACTGAAACAATAACAACTTCGCCCTTGCTGTCCGAAGTCATATTCACAACGCAAATATCCGAGTTCTTATTTTGACAGAGTTTGTAAGGAACCGTAAACAGTCGAGTTTGACCGTCCTCCTGAAACTCATATTCGCGGATAACATCACCGGTCAGTGTCAAGTGTTCCACTAAACGTCGACAGCTTGTGTCTATCTCATCAATATCATCGAATTTAGAGTCTATCAAAGATACTAAAAAACCATCGTTTTCTGAGTCACAAATTCCCAGTGGTTTCAGTGGATCTGTACTGCACACAGTTGAGTTTGATCCTGATAAACAAAGTTTGCAAATGGAGTTTTCTGTTGTGAAATAAATATTTTTACTGAATGCACAAAAATCAAACTCACTACAAACGTCGCCAAAGCTAAATATGCTTTTCTTCTCCCCTTGTTTGTTGACCAATTTAATGTATTTTGAATCTTTAGCCATTAGTAGACACCTATCATCACTTAATGCCTCCAATATTAAAACTGAATTTACACTATATTGAAACGAATCTGTTTCAATGGCAGTGATATCATCTAAGTCCAAAAACTGACCAAATATGAACGCTATTATGTCATCATCATCCGACTCCCTAAGGATCATGGAATAGTCACAGTCCTCTAGTTCCTTGTCAACGTCGGAAAGCAAATGAATCAGATCTCTGCAGTTTTCTATTAAGCTTTTATCAGACATAGTGTTGTTGTTCTCCTCCATGTGTTCTATGGTTTGAATTATTTTGTTCTTTTTATCAACAAACTGTGATATTTCCTTGTCTAGATTTTCATTTTTCCTACGGAGATTATCTTTCAGTTCTTCTTCCTTGTTATTCTTGATTTCTGTTAACCTGGATATAAATTCATCAAAATTCCTTTTTAACTGTTTTATATGTATCTCACAAGAATTCTCGTTTTCAGACTTCTTTTTGGTCATCTTTTCATCAACTGTCGGCAGTTTCTGTTCTTTTATATTCTTCAGGTACTCCATGAGTCCTTTTCTAATTTGACTGGCCGCTGCGCCCTGGGTCACCCAATTATGTCCATTGTGGTCTGATTTGGCACATGTGGAACAAATGAAAACTTCACAGTCCTCACACACCATATCGACAGGAAAATCTTTGTGTTTTTCACACATCTGAATATGTTCTTGAGGAGAACCACCTGAATATTTTGGTTTACTAGCCGCCATTTTATAAACACATGCTTCTCGTTCAACAAGGTGGGAAAGATAAGGTAACTATGCAGATAATGGAAAAGTGTTGGAGATTCAAACATGCAAGTGCACTACAAATCATAAAACTTCTTTTCTCTCTACAGATCGATCGATAAACTTGCTTGTTTTGATTTTTTGTGGGATGAACGAAATTTTAAAACAAGCGAGTTAGTTATTAGATTTCAGAGACGATTATGAAGAGGGAGGAGGTAAATAAAATATACAGTTTGGTTTGAGAATATGTGTAGAATTAGTGAGTGAAGGATAGTTAAATGACCAATGCTAGAAAGTGGAGAAACTCTTATCAGAGAGAAAATCTTGCACAGTTAATTTGCACATTTCACTTTTCAAGGTTGATGACACTATAATCCCATGAAACAATAGCGATGACGCGATACAGCGATGCAACAATGAGATTATAATAGTGTAAAAAACCATTATAGTAAGTTTATCATCTACATCATCTTTTTAGAAGAGGGATAAAATAGGTTTTGCCTTCTGTCCAATCCCATTCGCTTTTATTATAAAGTATAAAGTAATCCTTATGTCCGGCCGGTCTTCTGTATGTCCGTCTGTTACACTTTGGGGTTCCAAACATAACTCCTATTATACCGCTGAATGAAATTCGATGAAAGTTTCACAGAATTTTATTACATATTGCCATTTTGCGCCTCTTATTTTACTTTTTGATCCGACACATATTTTGGGTTTCCGATAGCAAAACATGGACACTGTCATTATATTCATGTGGGTATGCGGGAGGTATCATTTAGTAAGCTCATTGCTAACCTCTAGTTTGTGAGTAAAATTGTGTATTAATATAAATATAAATCTTCATCAGAAAATCGCTACCATACAGTCGCATCATTGCCTCCTCAATTTATTTTACCATTGCATCATCGTTACCGTATTGTCACGCCATCGCAATTGTCATTGAAACTGTACATGCTTATTGCATTATTTGTCATTGCACTATTTGAATCCAAACGTATGGTGCATTGACGCAACATTGGACTCTCTGGTCCTATCTGGAATCCAGAACATACCCTGGATGCTAGAAATTTTACATCAGGGACCTAAGCAGTACACT